ACACACACACACACACACACACACACACACACACACACACAAACGCACACATGCACACTCATCATCCACACAAACAAAGGAAGTTACCAATGGGCAGCTGCCGGAGAATGGCGTCTATAAAGCGCACGGTCTTCTTGAAGTTTGCTCGGGTGACGCTGCTCGACGAGTCCACGACCAGGGCAACATCCAGACGGACATGTTCGCAATCTGGGCAGATTAAAGCAAAGACATATTAGTATTTTCTCTATGTTGCTATGCTCAAATCGTGTGACAGCCGGACATATTCGGAATCTGGACAGATCAGAACAAAAACATATCTCTATAGTATATTGCTCAAAACGTGTAATACGTGGACATGTTCGCAAATTGGAAAGATAAAAACAAAAACATTTTAAAATTATATCTGTGGTGTTACGCTCAAATTATAAACAACCGGACATGTTCGCAATCTGGGGAGATCATAGCAAAAACATTTTATAATTATACAACAAAGCTACGAGCGCAGTCTTTTCAACAACAACATTGGGGAATGGTTCCAAACAACAGTGGGAGTATGCAAGGGTTGTCTGCTCTCACCCACTCTTTTCAACAACATTTTCTTGGAGAGAATCATGACAGATGCACTTGAAGGTCACGAAAGGACAGTCAGTATCGGGGGCAGAACAATTAATAACTTACGTTTTGCAGACGACATAGACGACCTTGTGGGACAAGAGCAAGAATTAGTCAGCCTAATAAAACGTCTTGAAAAGACCTCCACAGCCTACAGCATAGAAATCAGCGCTGAGAAGACGAAACTGATCTAACAGCAAAAAGAGCATCACAGTGGACATCCAAGTCAACAACTAGATGCTTGAGACCGTACACAGCTTCAAATACCTGGATGTAATAGTGACACATGAAGGAAATAATCTACAGAGGCAGACCGAAGAAGAGTTGGGAGGACAACGTCAAGGAATGGACAGGCCTGGAACTCAAAGACACGCTCAGAAAAGCTGAAGACCAGAAGAGGTGGAGGAAGCTAATGGCCAAATCTTCAAAAGCACCCCGACGGACATCCGGTCTACGGGATAGGTGAAGAAGGTGAAGGTGACGGCGAATCATATCTGTGGTGTTACGCTCAAATTATGAAACAACCGGACTTCTTCGCAATCTGGACAGATCAGAGCAAAGAAACACTATTGTGTAAATGCTTAAATAGTGTGACAACCTGACATATTCGCAATTTGTACAAGTCAGAGAAAACACATATCAGTCTCTATGGTATTATGCTCTAACCATGTAACAGCCAGAACTGTTTGCATTAGCAATGTGGGCAGATCAAAGTGAAGGCATATTTAGTTTGATGGTGTGATGCTCAAACCGTGTGACATCTGGAACATGCTCGCAATCTAGACAGATCAGAACAAAGACATAGAGTCTAATTATTTCGTTGGTGTTATGACAAGAAATGTGGCTCTGGTTGTTTGGTCTACTGTAATTTCTTGTTTGTTCTCCTTCGGCAAATTTGGTGTACAACCAACATACAACATGATACAATAAATACTGTACTAAAACAACATAACATCGGTTCAGAACGCTATGGTTACAACAACAACAATAATAATAGTAACAACAACAACGACATTATCAACAATAACAACAACACAAAAACACTAACAACAATAACAGCGACGACAACAGCAATAACAACAGCAACTGCAACAACAAGAAGGGACGACAGCAAGAGACATAAGTTATGACCCAAATATCCTCTGTATCTTCTCGTCAATGTACCATAGCTTGTAGAAGGGAACAGCAAATTTTGGTATGCTGTCTTGAAGTAGGCTACATACTACGTGTATTGTAAACTACAGCATCGATTTTGTCCCGTCACCCGACGCCACGACATGCATTGACCATCTGGGATGTGCTTGGACACGTGACATTTCATTCAGGTCATCCCGTGACGTAGGAGAATTTTTCCTAAGTGGTAAGATTACAGTCGTCAGTTGGGCGAATATCGATATCTTCCTTCGGTTGTAATAGATCTTTATGAAACATACGGATTTGATTTGAGCAAATGTGTAAGCGTGTGTGTGTGTGTGGGGGGGGGGGGGGGGGTATTTGTTTATTATGTTGTAAAACAGGGAACAATACAAGTGTGAAGAAAATTGCATCATAGAAATAAAAATCTTGAGCATTTAGATTCACCCACTGCTCGCGATTTGTTTTTCTTCTGGATTTTGTTATTCAATTTGAAAAAGTTAACAATAGATTGCATCGCACCGTCCATTAGCTGAACAATCAATTACACCGTTCAAAAACAAAAACAAAAGAATGAGCCAGGAAAGCCTCCATGAATTTCAATAGCAAAGCTATTTTCACTTGAGCTGTGACGTGTCAAAAACGTGTGTTTACTTCACTTGTCCAAGGGCAAAAGTATGATACTGAGGCAAAAAATAAGTAAAAAATCAAAGCCATGCACATGTGTTCTTTGACCAAAACAGGCATTATTTTGCGTTAGCCAGTTTCTGTTGGCACCATTGTCAATGGTAAATTTCACAGATCAGTAATAAAAGACAAATTCGCTAGAAATGGGGTGATGGAATTCGGCGTCATCTTCCACCACGACAACATAGACTGCCTGTCCACAAATGCTGAGTCATCTTTGACATTTCCGAGAACATTTCGTGGGAATTACTAGAACGTGCACCCTATTTTCCTGATTCAGCACCCTGAGACTCTTTCGGAACAGATTACACGATAAATGATAAAGTGAATTCTGAAATGCTGAAACAATTTTGATAACTATTTTTTTGTGAGCGGTAAAATGCATGGAAACCAAGTTCTGAGACGCACCTCGTAGATATCGGCTTATAACTACTTCAATATGTAACTCTCATCCCGCTATCAATGTCAGGCTTGAAAACCAGGTGATGTTCATTACAGCAAGATACTACAGACTTCAACATAAGTTAAGGACCACCTTGACAGACAGCCCTGATTTTTTTTTTAATCCTTAAAAAAGACAGCGAGGAATGTTTCAAACTTGTTTGCTCTGAAAGTGGTAATGTGTTACCAATGCGCAGATCTACTGCAAAGCTTCCTAAAGGGGCAAAACCCTCACGTGCTGCATGGAAATCCTCGAGGAATTTTAGCCAAATTTGCTGTTTTTATCGACTTGTGTGCGACACCACGGACATTCCTCAGTCAAAATGTCTGATGCACGTCATAAGCGGACGTACGCTCTCGAACTGTGCTCACTTTGGTGGCAATATATGCCGTCGTTTGCGCAAAATCCAGTATCGCATCAACATGCCACCAAGACAAAAGCTGGGAGACTTTGATCGCGCCAGAGCTATTGCATGGCTGCAGGATGGAGTTGGAGCCCAAGAAGTTGCCAAAAGGCTCGCAGTGTCCCGCTCTGTCATTGTTCATTTGAGGCAGCGCCACCAAGCCACTGGATCAGTCCAAGAACGCCCACGAGCAGGTCGACCCAAGAAGACGACTCTGAGTGTTTGGAAGTGGTCCTTAACTTATGTTGAAGTCTGTACACCCGATATGAAATTTCTACACAAAACCCAAAACGTCAAAAAAAAAAAGAGACAGGCAGTGGAATGAAGATGTATGAGCAGCTGTTGGCACGGAGTCTGTCTGTACTTTGTAGAAAACCACCGATTAATAAAATTATGGTTTGGCCTCCGGTTCCTCTTGCTAATGACACCAGTGCAGGCAGCCTTGTGTGCCTACAACACCAAGTTCTCCGGCTACAGGGGAAGAGGTAGATCACGCAAAAGATGGACTAACGAAGTAAACGGAACCCTGAGAAACAACGACATCTCAACTGAAACAGCTGCAGAGATGGCCTACCAAAAAAAACTGCACCCCCCCCCTACGCTCAACGGTAATGGAGGATAGAAAAAAAATGAAATAAGTTGACAGATATAGATAACGGCAAGTGGCAAGAGACGTCTAGATCTTATAGATAGGAATTGCATTCACGTCCACTATGGCAACGCCATTGTAACATTTTTTAAACGCCTTGAGCGTAGGGTATATCATCATCATCATCATCATCATCATCATCATCATCATCATCATCATCATCAACAACAACAACAACAACAACAACACCAACAACAACAACAACAACAACAACAACAACAGCAGCAGCAGCAAAACAACAACAATAACCAACAACTACAACCAACAACAACCACTACAACTACAACTACAACTACAATTACAACTACAACAAGCAATGTTGTATCCTCAACAACATATTAACAACAACAGCAGCAGCAACAACAGTAGCAGCATGCAGTATCCGCAACAACAACAGCAATAACAACAACTACAAAAAATAAAAACCCTCAACAACATTAACAACGGCACTGGAAACAAATTATAAAATTCAAACCATTGTCACTCGAAACTGTTTCAGGCTCTACGGCAAGAGCAAACAGAAGAAACGCAGCACACATAGAAGTCCTCATGTTTACTACCGGCGATCTCGAGGGCTACAGATCTACTCTCTCAACTGTTTTCTCTCCACGTTTTGCATTCCTGTTTTAGAATATAACACATTTTTTTACGTCACATCAGACTGATTTTGTCTTTTCCATTTTTTCCCGACGAAGGAATTAATTGTTCTCTCCACTGTGAGCTTAGTTTTCTTGGAAATAAAGTTCTACTTAGAAAGCAAGAAACAGTTCAGAAACCAGAGACGTCTGCTTTTAGACCAGGCACTGTCCTGGCTGCTGCCACTCTCCGCTGTCTGTAAATATTTCGCCGCCAAGTGTCTTCGTTTCTGGGGAAACTGATCAATATTTTACAAGACTGTCGCTATTCCGCGCCATTATAACATCAGTCACTTTTAGTCGAATGCATTTGATACCTTCTTTTTTGCCCTTTACTTGGTTGAAATAGCACGCTCCTTATTGTACCAACCATTATTGTACGTCAGATCGGAGTTCACGGTCTAAGCTATCACAATGCGAGTTTATGAGTCAAACTGGGTTTTTTTTAGAAGATAAAATTATTATGCTTTTCAAAACAAAAACAAAACAAAACAGAAAAATTTAGCCAGAATGAATGCTTGAATTATCTTGTTTTCTTGTTGCTATCTTCACGAAATCTTAAATTTTGAACTGTCGAATATAAGGGAATTTGTGAAAGTCTACCAAGGAAAAGCTTTTTAACAGAAAAAAGTGGAAAATTAGACAAAACACAACTGCTGAAACAGCAGTTGTACAGCTCAGCGCAGCCCAGACACAGTTATCACTCAAAGCAAGACCATCTTTTGCCCGACTTAATTCAAATTTTAATTTTTCTTAAATTTTATGTTTTCGGTGATGAATCGAGAGGAACGAACCCTAACCAGGGGGGCGGG